GAAACCAGCAATCCTACCATCATGCAAAACAGTTACAGGTTTTTGTTTCACAGTCATCTGGCAGGACGGTAGTACTTCCCTGGGTGGTTGCTGTCTACCAACCTACTAGCTGTTATAAAGTTATTAACTGCTGTCTCATTATGTAGTCTGAAGGTAACTTTAGTAGTGTTGTGGGGCAGTTTACCTAGGTTGGTTATGAGAAAGGTAGCTTAGTGGTCTGTGGTGTTGTCTGTGATTATGCCTGATTTTAAAGGGGATATGGTGTTAGTCCAGGTGTTTTCCAGTAAGGAGACACTGGTCTCGGAGATTCTTGTAGGTTTTGTTATTGTTGATAGCAACAAACAGTTACTCATAGTGTTTGTGAATTCAGTTACTTGTGGGTCCTGGTCATGTTGGAGATTTATGTTAAAATCTGTGAGCAGTAAGTGGTCTTTGTTCATGTGCGCATCACAGTTATCATGTTCCCTAATTTGTCACAAAAATGGTAAATCTTACAAAAATAAAAGTGAATATGTAATTGTAGTGATGTATTATGTTGTATTTACTGCATAAGATTACAAATGCAACAGAAATAATAGTACTTCTTACCCTAAATTGCGGGCACTGGTGTTTGTGGATGATTGTGAAGAGAGTGGAGAGTTATGTTGTCTCTCTACTGGGCTGAGGTGGATGGTAGAGGTTCTGGTACTGAAGTCAATGGTTGTACTGGAGTGTGCATAAATTCTGTAAGGGATTTCTGTTCTATTTTACCCTACAGTACGTTATACAATTGACAGTAAGACATCAGCCGCTCTAGACACCATTTCAGGGTCCTCTTCAGTGAAAAAGTATAACTAAGTCATTCAGTCAGTCAAGTCAGTATATTATTCAGTCAAGTCAGTCAAGTCAGTATATTATTCAGTCAAGTCAGTAAGTCATTCAGTCAAGTCAGTAAGTCAGTCAGAAATCAGTAAGTCAGTCAATTCATTCAGTAAATCAGTCAAGTCATTCAGTCAGTCAAGTCAGTCAGTAAGTCAGTCATCACAGAAACTCATATTTACCTCATTCTTTTTGTGTACAAAGTGATGCCTCATTCTGGCTACAGACTATCTCTTGTTTAATATTTCTGTTTTCTTTGGCTACAGACTATCTCTTGTTTAATATTTCTGTTTTCTTCGTTAATTCTAAGACTTAAACACTTAAACCTTTTCTTGCAACTTTCAGCAACACTTGTATGCCTACTGGGTGCCATGATTGCTTGGCAGATTTAGGATATGGTAATTAATACATATCTAAACACATACAGTGAGCTACTGGTAGCAGAGCAGGTGTTGCGCAACTTAACATTAAGATCGACAACACTCTAATTGCCAGACATAATGAGGGCAAATTCCTTGGCCTATACCTCGACAACAACCTAAATTTCAGCACCCATATCCAACACATAACAAAAAAAGTATCCAAAACGGTGGGGGATCCTCTCCAAGATACGATACTACGTGCCGCAAACTGTCCTTTTCACACTATACCATTCACTTATATATCCATACCTCACCTATGCTATCTGTGCTTGGGGTTCAACTGCAGCAACACACCTAAATCCAATAATAACCCAACAAAAAGCCACAGTAAGAATAATAACTAAATCCCATCCCTGGCAACACCCCCCCCCCCCCCCCCCCCACTCTTCCTAGATCTAAACTTACTCTCTGTTCAGAGCATCCACACTTACTACTGTGCAATCTATATCTACAGGACCTTAAATTCCAATATTAACCTTGAACTAAAATGCTTTCTTGATAGTTGTGATAGGATCCACAGGCATAACACCAGACACAAACATCTCTATGACATTCCCCGTGTTCAGCTAAACCTTCACAAAAATTCAATGTATTTCAAAGGACCTAAAATCTGAAACACCCTACCTGAAAACTCTAGAACTGCAGACACATTCATCACTTTCAAAAATTTCAGTTAGAAAACATCTTATCTTCCTGATCCACCCCGACAACTAACTACATGATAACCACCTGGTGGTTCACAATTACACTCACTCACCTACTGACTATAAACTCAGAAATACTAATCTTAATCTAAAAATAATAAATCCTAACTAGTCATAAGGTTGCTTATGATACTCCAATATAGACACTTTGTATTGTGCCAAAACAAAAGCATTCACATTGCTAAACTCACAAATTATGATGTAGTCACTTAGCCTTAAAACCATAATCTGTAAGGATTTAATGTTAAGAATTAATCTAAGTCTGCTGGAAATACCTAGCCATGCTAGGTGTCCTAGTGGCCCCCTCTGTAATTAGTATTTTATAACATGTAAACCACACAATACCCAAAACCTGTAAACCCCACATTGTAACCCTTATAGAGAATAAACTTGAATTGAATTGAATTTGAACACACGTATAAACCAAACTGAAGGCTGGGAGGGTGGTGGGGGTGGCTGATGCTGGCGGGGGATGACAGTAGGTCTCCCCTGTTGACTCAGTGGTGTAACCCACAGCCCAAACCATCCCGCCCCGTGAGCGACTGCGCTCAGAATTTTTTCCCTTCCCGCAACTGTGTCGAATTAATTTTACAAAGTGTTAAACAAAAATATGCTGCAATTCTTCAATCGTGCTATAACCAAAACATGCCGGACAAAACTATGTTAAACAATGGTCTACTGTTGATCAGGCTCTGATCCACCAGGAGGCCTGGTCACAGACCGGGCCACGGGGCGTTGACCCCCGGAACTCTCTCCAGGTAAACTCCAGGTAAACTGTATCTATAAATAAGTCGATATGGGGCCTGTGAAGTTTAGTGATAACAGCCAACCGAAAAGAAATTGGTTGGGAAAAATTGTTCAGTACTCGAACGGATCGGCACTCGAACAGCCTTCTGGAATGAATTAAGTTCGAGTACTAAGGTTCAACTGTACTTATCAGTAGTAAAATCTTAGTTGCTCAGCATACTGGCAGTCAGCTTACTCTGTATGATATAAGCTTGCCACTACACTTATGAATGCACAGTATGTACAATCTTTAAAGCATTCTCTACAAATAAACATTGGAATGCACAAATAATAGAGAGCAGTCATGGGAAACATTTAATGTTGAAAGATTGTACACCAGGGTTTATTAATGTTAATACCACAAGCTACTGTGCTTTATTTATCATCATATTTTTTACCTGTTTCTGACTTTCAGTGGTTTGTGTTCAGTGATGAGGGATGGCTACAGGTAAGGGAGGAAAGTTTATAAGAACATTTGTCTGACCTTTCATTTTCTATGAAAACATGCTAGTTATTTTCCTGTTATTTGTTACATTCTTCCTCCCAGACTTACAGTACTACTGGTAATTCTCTTGTGTGTTGTGGTGTATGTGCAGTGATGAGGATGGGATGTAGGAAAGTGAGAGAAGTTCATAAAAAACTTAACTAGTAGCAGGATCTCAAGATTCTTTGGCTGCTGATGTAATGTGGCTGTGAAGTGTGCACTGTTGTCAAGGGCTGCAAGCTGCACAGGCAGGTGATTTTAAAGTCTTTGATCTCAATTTAGATGTGCTGTGCATTTTAACTTATTTTTTGCATGCTGACTTAAGCTTTTGTTTACACTAGAAATTGTGTTGCAACAAGAATGTTCAGAGAAGGGTCATAATAAATAATATGTTTGTAAGCAGTGAACAGCAAGTGATGGGTGATAGCTGCCAGCTCTCTGATTCCTCTCAGAATTATTTTTCTACAGTGAGTTCTAATGTTCCCTCTTGCTTCTAGCATTTCAAGGCCAAAGAAAAATAGTAGTATATTGGGCTAAATATTCCCACGTGATGGTGTTAGTGGTGGTAGTAGCAGCAGTTGCAGGGATATTAGTGCTATTACAATAGTATTTATAGTATAGTAATCATAGTGGCAGTTAGAGTAGGTGGCAGTACTGTGGTAGTGTTAAGTGTAGGTTTGTTCAACATTCCTTATTTATTGTTACTATAATTTGGTACATAATACATGTTTTTCAGTACAGTATGGTACAGAAAGTCAGCAACTTTTTCTTCTTCTTCATCATCTTGCTCTTGGTAGTTAAGCTGAAAAGCAGGAAGAGTCTTTATTTGTTCGGATAGGATGTGTAGACCACTGCTGAGAGTATAGTGTTGCCAGCAGATAACTTTTATATAATAGACTGTAAGGTTTTCTGCTCTTTGTCCCATCTCCCTCCCATATACTAACCCTTGGTCTACATTTCTTTGACCTCTTTCTCTCTGTAATAAAAAAATAAGGCAGGAGGTTTTGCTTTTTTAATTTGCAAGAAGGACAATAAAATTTCTATTAAGATTTTTCAACTTTAAAGTTAGGTTCAGTCATTCACATATGATATCTCCCCAAAATTATATATTTTTTCAAAAGATGCTGAAATCTGGCCATGATACAAATATAAAATAACAGAAGTTTCAGAGATTGCTTGAAAAGTAATAGAAAACAATTTTGCAGTGGCCCATTTAAATTTCCAGCACAAGATTTTTGAATACTGTAATACAATTCTACACTACTGTGGTGTATATACATACCCTGCTCTAAATTGAGCCACCTTAAATTTTATTAAGATCATATTTAATTTCCAGATTTTTTTTTATTCATGTACTCATATTTTTAAAGTAAGCTATTGGTTAGAAAAAAATTGTGTAGTCATATATTTTTTTTTTTTTGATTGAAACTGTGATGACTACAGTTTCTAGTTATTGTATATCAAGACATTCCATGTGGTAAGTAGTTTTAGAATTTTCCAAAAATTAAATTTTCCATACTGAACTAAGAGAGTATTTTGTGCTGTGTGTACTGAGTGAGTGTGCTGTCAACATTACTACTTTCTTCCATATATAAAATACTATCTAGCCTGATTACAGTTCTTACTTCAACTCTGAGTGCCTGGACCCCTTGAACATCCATGATCCACTTGCTACTGTAAAATGAAAGTGTAACATTCAGTTTATTTTAATTTTTCTTGTTTAATATTGAATTTATTTGTTTGCAGCTTCTTCAAGTAGTGCTGCTAGCACAGTAATGGGAAGCCCTGGAGCAGAGAAGAGAGGTACTCGATCTCCTCTGCCACCTTTACCTCAGGGAGACACTAGCCTCTACTCAGGCCCCTCTCCCCAGCCCCCACATTCCCCCCCGCGAAGTGTTCCTCCTATTGAGAGACCCACACAACGAGCACTTGAAGAAATGTATGCAAAGGTATGTATTATATTCTTGCCTTTTGTGGTATCTATCCTATACAGTACAATGCTCCTTCACTGAATGAGAGGCTGCCTTCCTAGAAAGAGTCATTCAGAGATTAGATCATAGTTACCATATTAAATAGAGGTTAAGTTCTAGACCCCATCCCTTTAAGAGGGGTGCATTAATGCTGAAGGGCTCTTGATTCAAGGGATTGGAACTACCCTCCCCTTGCATCAAATCTGATTACTTCCCATATCCCAGGAGCTGTATAGCCCTAAGGTTTTAGCATTTTCCCATAACTGATGATAATGTAGATTGCATCCCCAGATGCATAACCTTCAGTAAATAACATAAACACAGGACCTCAGATAGTTTAACATTGTGCTAACAATTTATCATTTTGTTGAAGCTCTCGCTAATTTTCATGGTGGGAGGTTGCTATTGAAAAATTTATGGTAATAAAAAATATCCATCAGAATGACATGGGGTTACTTTGAGACTGAATTTTTAGACACAAACAGTATGCCATATGCAGTTGAACATGTCTAAAAGTGAAAATGTTGCAAAATCACTTCTGACATGAATAGGCTATTCAACTTTTATTATATGTAAAGATCTTGCTTCTAAAATGAAACTGAATGTGTAACAAAAAATTCCAAGGATTGACAAAATGCAGGGAAGCTGATAGAAGAGTGATCAATTGTTATGTTACCTACCCTGGCAAGGCACACTTACGTTTACACCTCTCAGTAGATCACTTTCCTTCTTCCGCTAGTGCTTATTCAAGTACCTTTGAGTACTTCTGTTTATTTATTTTTTTTTTTTAACACATCGGCCATTTCCCAGGGAGGCAGGGTGACTCAAAAAGAAAAAAAACTTTCATCATTCAACACTTTCGCCATCACTCATACACAATCACTGTCTTTACAGAGGCGCTCAAATACGTCAATTTAGATGTTTCTTTGAACTGCCAATGTCCCAGACCCCTCCTTTAAAGAGCAGGCATTGTACTTCCCATTTCCAGGACTCGAGTCCGGCTAACCAGTTTCCCTGAATCCCTTCACAAAATATTACCCTGCTCATTAGGACCCAAAAACCATTTGTCTCCATTCACTCCTATCAAACACGTTCACGCACACTTGCTGGAAGTCCAAGCCCGTCTCCCACAAAACCTCCTTTACCCCCTCCCTCCAACCTTTTCGAGGATGACCCCTACCCCGCCTTCCTTCCCCTACAGATTTATACACTCTCCAAGTCATTCTACTTTGTTCCAGTCTCTAAATGATCAAATCACATCAACAACCCCTCTTCAGCCCTCTGACTAATACTTTTAGTAACTCCACACCTCCTTGCAATTTCCACACTATGAAATCTCTGCATAATATTTACACCGCTCATTGTCCTTAGACACGACATCTCCACTGCCTCCAGCCTCCTCCTCGCTGCAGCATTTACAACCCATGCTTCACACCTATGTAAGTGTTGGTACCACTATACTCTCATACATTCCCTTCTTGGAATAGATAACATTTTTTTGTTTCCACAGATACCTCAATGCACCACTCACCTTTTTTCCTTCATCAGTTCTATGGTTAACCTCATCCTTCATAAACCCATCTGCTGATGAGTCAACTCCCAAATATCTGAAAACATTCACTTCTTCTATACTCCCTCCCTCCAATGTGATATCCAATTTTTCTTTATCTAAATCATTTGATAACCTCATCACCTTACTCTTATCTATGTTCACTTTCAACATTCTACTTGTACACACCCTCCCAAACTCGTCCACTAACCTTTGCAACTTTAGAATCTCCCAAAAACACAGTGTCATCAGCAAAAAGTAACTGTCATATCCCATTTTGTATTTGATTCCCCATAATTTAATCCCACCCCTTTCTCCAACACTCTAGCATTTACTTCTTTTACAACCCTCATCTATAAATATGTTAAACAGCCATGGTGACATTACACATCCCTGTCTAAGACCTACTTTTACTGGGAAATAATCTCGCTCTCTCCTGTATACCCTAACCTGAGCCTTACTATCCTCATAAAAACTCTTTACAGCATTTAGTAACTTACTACCTATTCCATACACTTGCAGCATCTACTACATTGCTCCCCTATCCAATCTGTCATATGCCTTTTCTAAATCCATAAATGCAATGAAAACTTCCCTACCTTTATCTGAATACTGTTCACATATATGCTTCAATGTAAACACTTGATCTACACATCCCCTACCCACTCTAAAACCTCCTTGCTCATCCGCAACCCTACATTCTGTCTTACCTCTAATTCTTTGAATTATAACCCTACCGTACACTTTTCCTGGTATACTCAGTAAACTTCTTCTTCTTCTTCTTCTTTCAATGTACCAGCCGTATCCCACCGAGGTGGGGTGGCCCAAAAGGAAAAACGAAAGTTTCTCCTTTCAGATTTAGTAATATATACAGGAGAAGGGGTTACTAGCCCCTTGCTCCCGGCATTTCAGTCGCCTCTTACAACACGCATGGCTTACGGAGGAAGAATTCTGTTCCACTTCCCCATGGAGATAAGAGGAAATAAACAAGAACAAGAACTAGAAAGAAAATAGCAGAAAACCCAGAGGGGTGTGTATATATATGCTTGTACATGTATGTCTAGTGTGACCTAAGTGTAAGCAGAAGTAGCAAGACACACATGTTTACAATCTTGCATATTTATGAGACAGACAAAAAAAAACACCAGCAATCCTACCATCATGTAAAACAATTACAGGCTTTTGTTTTACATTCACTTGGAAGGACGGTAGTACCTCCCTGGGTGGTTGCTGTCTACCAACCTACTACCTACACTCAGTAAACTTATTCCTCTATAATTTTTACAATCTCTTTTGTCCCCCTTCCCTTTATATAAAGGGACTATACATGCTCTCTGCCAATCCCTAGGTACCTTCCCCTCTTTCATACATTTTTTTTTTTTTTTTTTTTTTTTTCAACAAGTCGGCCGTCTCCCACTCCAACACTGTATCCCTCCCAGCTTTTAACATTTCTGTCATGAGCCCGTCAGTTCCAGCTGCTTTACCCCCTTTCATTCTACGTAATGCCTCACGCACCTCCCCCATACTCACATCCTGCTCTTCTTCACTCCTAAAACATCCTTTTGGGGATTAAATTATAGGGAATCAAATACAAAATGGGAGTTGACACAGTTACTTTTTGCTGATGATACTGTGCTTTTGGGAGATTGTAAAGAGAACTTGCAAAAGTTAGTGAATGAGTTTGGGAGGGTGTGTACAGGTAGAAAGTTGAAAGTAAACATAGATAAGTGTGAGGCGATGAGGGTATCGGGCGAGTTAAGTAAAGAAAATTGGATATCACATTGGAGGGAGGGAGTATGGAAGAAGTGAATGTGTTCAGATATTTGGAAGTAGATTTGTCAGCAGATGGGTTTATGAAGGACGAGGTTAACCATAGAATTGATGAAGGAAAGACAGTGAGCAGTGCATTGAGGTACCTATGGAGACAAAAAATGTTATCCATGTAGGCAAAGAAGGGAATGTACAAGAGTATAGTGGTACCAACACTCTTATATGGGTGTGAAGCATGGGTTGTAAATGCTGCAGCAAGGAGGAGGTGGCTGGAGGCAGTGGAGATGTCGTGTCTAAGGGCAACGTGTGTGTAAATATTATGCAGAGATTTTGTAGTGTAGAAATTACGAGGAGGTGTGGAGTTACTATTACCCCGTAGGTAGGGAGTAAAGGGTAGGTAGGTTTGGGACTGGGATGAGGAGGGGGTTGTGAGGAAGGATCCTGCACTGATAGGGGTTAGGATTGGGGGGGTGTAGGTGAGGGGTATGGGGTTAAGGGTAGGATTTGTTTAGAGTTACTGTTTTTGAGTGAGGTGGGGGTTGGAGTTTGAGAGTCCATAGGTGTTGGAGCTTGGTGCTTCACATGAAGCAGGGCTTCCTGCTGGTGTAATTGAGCATTGTGTTTCCTCAGAGGTGGAGCTTCTGCACATGTCATTGCATTCACTAGTTCTCCAGCCTGTCTGCCTTTTTTTTTTATGCTCTTCCCTCAGTTGTTCCCTCTCCTGTAATATTCTGTCCCAGTCAAGGTACGTGATGATATTTGTCAGTTCTCCTCAACAGTGATTTCCATCTTGAGACTCAATTTTGTGCCATTTCTGCTGTTTGGGTCAGTGTGACTGGTCATATTTCATCCTTTGTGTACTTCTTTATCCTCTGAAAATTTTCTACCTCAGCCTCAGCATGTTCAACGATGTTATGGACATCCTTTTCATTCACTGTCAGTATATCAGTTGTCATCTCTTCAGTCTTTTGGAGGCCATAATCAGTGACCACCATCTCTCTTCCCACTTCCTTTCTTTCCAGAGTTCATTGTCTTGTTATCAGTTTGCTGTTCTTCATATCATATCCTTCACCTCCTGGCTTCCTGAGAGCATTTCTGCAAAAGTCTTGCTTGTTCCCTCAGCCCTTCGTTCTGGCTCTACACCTGTTGAACTTGGTAATATCTCCACCTCACACCTTTCCCTCATCTCTTCTAATTCTGTCTTCCAAGTGATGCATTTTTTCCTCAGTGGCAATTACCCTTTTCTCTTGTGCCTTGCCATCTTCCACTATTCTCTTCACTTTATCATATATCTCTATGTGAAGATCAAGAAGCATTTTCCCAGTCTTTGTCCATCATGTATTTCAACCCAGCCTCTAGTTTCCTGTTTTCTTGTTCTTGAGTGTTGCCATTGCCCACAGCCAGTGAAAAAAACGTACACTCTGTTCTAGTGATGTGTGTGCATGTGCTTGTGTTTGAGCACATGCATGTGCGTGTAGGTGTGTGTTTCTTGTGTGCATGCACATGTGTGAGTAATCTTATTTTAAACATTTATTTGAATAATGTGTTCCTGAGAACACTTGTTTACATTTTAATTACGTATATACTTATTTTTAGGTAATGAAAAAGCAGCGTCCAGGACATTCCCGTGGGGACAGTTCTGGTGGAGGAGGTGAGAGTGATGCTGGCAGTGTTTCATCTTCACGAAGAGGTTCTATGGATATTGGTGGTGCTCGTTGGGGCTCCCATGCTTCATCTCCTCCAACAACCCCACGGCAGTCAGTCGACCTGGGATCAATGACACGCAGTCTTGTTGAAACTCGCAACCACGAAGTGGTTACATCAATTAGTCGAGCCAAGTCTTACGAGAAGACGGGTGTATGGGGAAACACTACACAACATTCACAGCCAACACTACCTAATCCTAATTATGAAATAATACCACAACTCCCCACCAACTTCTACTCAGGAGGATCTGATCCTGGCTATGAAACTGTGAAAAATTCTGAACCTCCATATGCTAGTGTTGAAAGACCAGAGGAGAATTATCCTGGTTATGAAACAGTAAAACAAACCTCAGACATTGAGTCAGAACCTGGTTATGAAACACTGAAGCACAGAGAATATGAACCAGGGTATGAAACAGTCACTGGTGAAGCTAAACTGCAAAGTTCAGAACCTGGTTATGAAACAGTTTCTCATGACAAAAATCAAGAGGATGATGAGCCTGGCTATGAAACTGTAACACATCATAGAGCAGAAGCATCTGACCCTGGTTATGAAATTGTTAAAGGAAAACTCACAAGTGAATTTGGAGATCCTGGGTATGAAGAACTACAAGGTGCTATCCATCACACACGAACCACCTCGGAAAATGACCCAAATTATGAACAACTCAAATTTACAAGTTGGCAATCAAGTGATGGGGATGTAGAACCTGGTTATGAAGTAGTTAAGGTTGAGAATGAAAGTACGTATGAATTTGTGCGAGACTATGACACCCAAGAGAATTATCCTCCCTATGAAAAGATTGATAAGCCTCTCAAGAATATCAGCCAACAGGACACTCCCTTGTATGCAAGTGTACAGAAAGCAAGTACAAGTCCAGAAAAGAAACAGGCATTGGACAAGAACTCAGAAGTCGAAAGCTTGAGAGCTGTTGGTCTTTTAGAGAGCGATTTAGATAGTTATTTTATACCTCCCATAAATGGTAAAGATTTAAAAGAAGCTATAACAGAAGATTCTGAAGAAGATAGGGATTTACCATTACCCTTGAAAAAGCCAGAGAGTCTACCATTATCATCACCTGAAAGGAAATCTCCTTCATTAAAGAGTCCTGATAAGGTTTCTCTGTCATCAGTAAAGAGTCTAAATGGATCTCCCATAGCACCAAGGAGTCCTAAAGATTCTCCTGTAGCACCAAGGAGTCCTGAAGAATCTCCTTTAGCACTAAGGAGTCCTGAAGGATCTCCACCAGCACCAAGGAGCCCCAGAGAATCTCCACCAGCACTAAGGAGTCCTAAAGAAACTCCACCATCACCAAGGAGCCCCAAAGAATCTCCATCAGCACTAAGGAGTCCTAAAGGAACTCCACCAGCACCAAGGAGTCCCAAAGAATCTCCAACACTAAGGAATCCTAAAATATCTCCACCATCTGTGAAAATTACCAATGTAACCCCACCATCTTCAAGGAGTTCAAGTGAATCACCACCAGATTCTCCACCAGTGGTGAACAATGGTACAGGTTCTCCACCACTAGTGAAGAGTCCTAATGGATCTCCACCAATGGTAAAGAGTCCTAAAGGATCTCCACCATTGATGAAAAGTCCAGATAAAGTATCACCACCACCACCATTGATGGAGAGTCCTGATAAGGGATCACCACCACCATTAATGAAGAGTCCAGATAAGGGATCTCCTCCACCATTAATGAAAAGTCCAGACATGGGCTCTCCACCATTGATGAAAAGTCCAGATAAGGAATCTCCTCCACCATTGATGAAAAGTCCAGATAAGGCATCTCCTCCACCACTGATGAAGAGTCCAGATAAGGAATCCACTCCATTAATGAAAAGTCCTGATAAGGGATCTCCACCATTAGTGAAGAGTCCTGATAAAGAATCTCCACCATTGATGAAAAGTCCAGATAAGGTATCTCCTCCACCATTGATGAAAAGTCCAGATAAGGTATCTCCTCCACCATTGATGAAAAGTCCAGATAAGGTATCTCCTCCACCATTGATGAAAAGTCCAGATAAGGTATCTCCACCATTAATGAAGAGTCCAGATAAGGTATCTTCTCCACCATTAATGAAGAGTCCAGATAATGGATCACCACTGTTGATGAGTCCAGATATAGAACCCCCTCCATTGATGACTAGTTCAGATAAAGAAACTCCACCAATGATGAAAAGTCCAAGTCCTGACATGGACTCTCCACCTATGATGAACAGTGCAAAAGTCTCCCCACCTTTGGTAGAGAGCTTAGATCAAGCCTTGAAAGACTCTCAGATGGTACAGACCCCAGATGGAGAGACTCCACCACTGACAAGAAGTCCAAGCCCAGATATTGAATTTTCACCTATGGTGAGATTTTCAGATAGACCATCATCCCCTCTAGCAAAAAGTCCTGATGAAAATATACATTTTCCAGAGGTGATAAGTTCAGAGGGAGAAATAACCTCATCAGTGGTAAGCTCTGCTCCTAAAGTGTCACCATCTCCAGAATCCAGTGTGGAAACAAAAACATTAGTGCTAATAGTTGGCTCTGATACAGAACCTTCTCTCCAACAGGAAGAGATCATTAATAAAGAAGTGTCTCCAACTGAAGCAAGCCATTTTTCTCAGCCTTCTACATCTCGCTTAGAAAGTCCAGATAAACAGTCTTCTCAGCCATTGGTTCATGATGTAGAGGAAACAGTGTCCTCTCTAGAAGGAACCATACGTGAACAAACATTTTCAATGCTTAATGAGAATCGAAATGAAATTATTTCAACTTCATTGGATGAGGATGAAATATTGCCACCCCAGCCACCCACTCCAGAGAGAGAAACATCCCCAGTTGCATTTAGCAGTCTTGGTTCAGTAGACCTTCCTGCACCTTTATTGGTAGAAGAAGCTGAAAACCAGCCACAAGAAACTGTTAATCCACTTTATATGTTAGATAATTTACATAATGATATTCAGCAAGAAAGTGCACCTCTTGTAGAGGATGTTAGCACTACAGAGCATGTCTCGTCTTCTGGAATGTGCAGTGATTTGCCTCCACTGCCTCCTCCAGTAATGGATGATGATGATAGTGCTTTTACAAATGACCTTCCTCCACCTTTACCTGAAGCATCACCTCTTATGCCACGAACAAGCACCCTCTGTGAAGATACTCCACCACCACCATTAGTACCTCCATCAGATGTTGAAGGTTTAGATGAATTGTTAAATCTTGCAAATATGGGTTCATCCTCATCAGGAAGCACTGCAGGTCAACCTGGTAGTATTCATGGTAGCTCTGAGAAAGACTCAGATTCTCCACAAGAGTCTGATGGTGTTCATATGGAAGCTGCTATAACTGCAGATGAACTTCCTCCTCCACCTCCTCTTTCAGAGCCTTCAGAACCAGGGACGGAGCATGATTCTGATGAGGAACTAGATAATTCTGTATCATCAGGTTATGAATGTGGATTCACAGCTGGTGGCATAACTGTTACAGTCAATCCTACAGTTGATGTGGAAGAACAGCCAGACTCTCCTGTTCATGTACCACCATCTAGTGAAACAAGTCAAGCAGCTCCTCCTTCACCTATTGTTGCTGCTGCCATAGGCACCAGCAGTGGAGGCAGCCAGAGCAGCAGTAGTGGGTCTGGTAGTCAGGACACTGGCAGTGGTAGCATAGAGAGTGTAGTGACAGTGGAATGTGCTGTAGGAGATACAGGAGTTCATGGAAGGCAGCAGTCCTCAGATTCATCAAGTCCAGAAAGTCGTCACCTTGATCCACATGAACAAATTACAGAGGTATGAAAAATGCCTTTAGATTTAATGTGAGCAATATTATGTGTTCAGTTTTGCTGGATTGAAAGCCAGCTTGATTGTGAAATCAGCACTGATGCTCAGGTTATCTTCAGCAGTAACCAAACTTCCTATCAGACTTTGGGGCAGCTCATTTATCTTGCACCAAATGTAGTGTGTATCTACAATAGCAAGATTGCAGCTAAGCGTTTGTTAGTCATATTTTTCACTAATAGCAGTTATGTGGACCATCGCAATTAGGCAACACTACTGTATGTGAAATACTCTGGTAGCTGTTGGCTGTGAAGTATTGATATTATAGTTTCCTTCTAGGTAAGAAAAGGTTTCCTCAGTAGACTTAGTACTATTTATGGTTTCAGTGATAAAGGTATTTTGACAGTGGTATTGTTTACACAGTCCCACGGAATACCCATGTATTAGCTCCACTTTCCATCTTTTAACTAAGTGATAGGCAGAAAACATTTGAATTACTGCCAGTTTTTACACAAGTGTCACGTCATTTTTATTTTTCCAATGAAGCAAGCATGTATTCAGTGAATGGAAGATATGGGTTTGTTATTCCACATTACCCTGTTTCACATCAGTGTCTTTGTAACTGGGTGAAATGCCGATGGAGTTAATTTTTGTAGGTGTGGCTCATAGTACTGTTAGTATGGATTACTGTGGTGTGTATGTGTTAGCCAACAGAGTATTGGCATCATGTGCATTGATCTTAAAGCTTTTGATAGTACTTGTCATCATCAAGCATGTACACAGAGAATGATGAGAAGTTAATATGCAGTTTGTTGCCAAAGTTCCTGTTTTTGTGAAAACAGGCAGGTTGAAGCTTTATAAAACTTTACCATGTGTTCAGTACATGTAATGGTAAGTTCTATTTATTGTACTGTAAGGTTGTAGCCAGTAGACAGTTTGCACATGTTTGCTGGATCATCTCAGACAAGTTATTCCTCATCCCATTGGAGTATATGGCAGTAGCAGATTTTTCCAGCGCAGCATGTCTAGTGATTTTTTATAGATATATGATAAATATGACCATTTCAATTAGTATAATTCACTGTGCAAAACCTCACAGATTTTAAAAATACAAGCTCAATTGCATCTTACACACATTAGATTATCATTCAAAGGTGTTGTGACATTTCTTTTCCTATACTAGAAAATTATAAAACTAGTGTATTTTTGTAGTGATACACATACAATTTTGCTATCACCAATTCTTTAATAAGAACACTAGAGTGTGTGCCGTGAAGTTGCATAGCAAGTCAAAGGTTAGGCCCCTTTGCTTTTTTGACATTTTTTTCTAGTAATTCAAAGCTTTCTTTGGATATGCAGTCTGCCATCAGTGCTATTACTTATGATTTCTTTGGAGAAGCCTTATTAATGTTGGCCTGAATGTGAACAATTTAGTCTGGTTATGAATGTGAGCATGATGAACTACCATGGTTATTAATGTCATGTTCAACTTGGGTAATTTAATGCCTTTTGTTTGTGAAGATGCAAGTCAAGCTCTTATTATGGTTGTCAGTGGTATGCCTGCCAAATGATTTTGGGATATAAGTTTTATATAATTATCCTGATAAAAATAATGAATGTAATAATTATGTTATGAATGTGAAAGTAATACTGTGGTCATGAATTATATAAACATATCTGTTTTTAAATGCAGTGAAACCTGATTTGTCTGTTTAGATCAGATAGACTAAAATCTAGAAACTAGCAAATTAATTGTTTTGAAATGTATCACTTGCTAATAAAACTTACCCTTTTTGCAGTAAACTAAGTAGAATGAAGGATGTTAAAAAACAAAAAATCTTTCAGGGAAAAAATTTACATACATTTGTGTCATAAAATATTTGTACATATTTTTCAATATTTAAAGCTGTCTAAATGGTAATTTTGTCCTTTATAACCATCTATAATGCCTATAAATTAATAATTTATAAGATTTTTTATAATTTAACAAATGTCGAGGGATTTCCATTACACTGCCAAATTTTCCAGTATTTTAGCTGTAGCTTTTATATGAAATTACAGTATACACTAAATTGTAAGGAAAACAAAACATGTAAAATTTCATTTGAAAGTTTAATTTGGAGTTTTAAGCAGAGTAGTATCAAATTTATAGCAACAACGAATGTTGAAGAATGTGAAGGTTTCACTGTGTTGAGAGTAGCATTTAGTATGTGTGCCAAAAATTATGTGTTGTGACATGTAAGCAAATTAATGTCCAGCAATTTTAGGGTATTATTGTCTTATATTACAGCAAGTACTGTACATGGATTGTGTATCCTTAAAATTAGGCTTTCCAAAATTGTGTACGTCCAAATAAGCCAATGAATGAAGTGAGTTGAATGATGGTTTGTATTATGCAATAGCAGCATTTATTTGTTATTTAGTAATTGGTTGGCCTTTATGGCAGCTTTTTTGTTTTGTGTGCATAATATATTTTGTTCTAGTACCTGAATGTATGATTTTCTTGTTCATGGAGAACAATTACACTATTTATTTTTCTAAATTAGTGTTCTGTTTTTATGCATGTGTTTGTGTGTGCTTTTGTTTGATACGTACATGCATACATGGATACATGCATACATGGATACATGCATACATGGATACATGCATACATGCATACATGGATACATGCATACATGGATACATGCATACATGGATACATGCATACATGGATACATGCATACATGGATACATGCATACATGGATACATGCATACATGGATACATGCATACATGGATACATGCATACATGAACATGCATACATAGTACATGCATACATAGATACATGCATACATAGATACATGCATACATAGATACATGCATACATAGATACATGTATACATAGATACATGCATACATAGATACATGCATTCATAGATACATGCATACATAGATACATGCATACATAGATACATGCATACATAAGTACATACATGCATATATAGATACATGCATACATAAATACATACATGCATATATGCATACATAGATACCTACATGCATACATAGATACATGCATACATGGATACATGCATACATGGATACATGCATACACAGATACATGCATACATAGATATATGCATACATAGATACATGCATACATAGATACATGCATACATAGATATACATACATAAGTACATATATGCATATATAGATACATGCATATATGCATACATAGATACCTACATGCATACATAGATACATGCATACATAGATGCATGCATATATACATACATATATACACACACATTCACACACAGTTATGCACACATACATATTCATGTACACTTGCACATGCACTTGCAGTAAGTGCTACAAAAAGTGGAAACCTTAAAAATGATGATACTTTAAATAATGAAGACAGGACACCAGAGACTTATCTCTACTCTTGTAACTACTGACAGCTAATTACACACAGATGCAGATCAAAACTCCCACCAAAAAAAAAAAAGTACATAAGACACTTAAGGAATAACACTCCGCTAGGAGATCCAGATAATATCTGGTATGGCTGTGTTTACTACATTACTAAGAATGATGCTGGTTCCATACTGAGAAATATTTCCTGCAATTTAAACTAGCTTATCAGTCCAAATCAGCTAAGGTAAATTTATTTCAAAAACTTATTGCAGCTAGGTTTAAGCTGGTATAAAGCAGCTGTTTAGGGAGATAGTACTGACCTCTCATAACAATGTGAAACAGGAGTGTGGTAAATATTTTACACTGGCAGGATTGTTGGTTTTTAAGATAATTTACTTTTAGAGGAATTAGCAATTGCTTTGTCACAAATGTTCTTCCTATTGAAGACTGGAAACTAGTTGACTCTTGTGGGTTTAATGCTTCTTTTTTTATTATAATGTGGAAACTAGTTACTGCAGCAGGCTATAACTGTCCAGAATATGGAAGGTATTAATAAAAGACAAATGCGGTATAATGCAGTCCTTTATTTGACAACGTTTCGCTCATATCAGTATTTTATACCATTTGCCTCTTCGGAAGGTATTCGTAACCATTCCAGTATAGTATAACATGTTTACAATTTCAATGAGGATATTGCTGTATTTGGAATAATGTCAGTTATTGATGAAATTTTCTTTGGTAATGAGGAGTTCTCCAATTTCTGCTTCCATCAAGAAGTTTGTTATCCATTGGACCATATAACGAAAAAGAATAGGCCACCAATAATAAAAGATATGTTGGTAAGATATTTAACACAAATAGTCAATTCTTCAGCTGAAAACATCAAATCAGGTTTGGAAAATGCATTCAGCATCTTTAATCTTTCCACTTCTTATGTTGAAACGATGAAAGAAATATCTCAAATTGATCAAAAATGCTTCATCTGTGTGATTGTTTCATTTCAAGGCTGCCTAAACAAGTTTGAATATAATTAAAAAATTTCTGATGCCAGCATGAAAGTAATATTTCTTATTAGAGATTGTGCAAAGTGTGTTGATGAGAAGCCACAGATGTTATGCTCTGGGAGAACAATGTAGAAAATGCAGCCTTATGTGCAGAGGATAGTGGGTGAGAATACTGTTAGTTTCTAGTTTCTTTTTTTAACTTTTTCATGATCATGGGTTGTAAACTATATGTCATAAACCTTGTTCTTAGCTTTATTTGAAGATAATTTATGAAAGATCTTGCTCTATTCACTGGTGAGTGGACTTATTCTCAAATATATTTAGGATCTCTGACAATATGAAATTTTTAGTAAATACTAAAAAAGTAAGTGGATGGTAGTTACTTGTAATCACACACTGTATGAGATCATAGATGTACATACTGAATACAGTGGACCCCCGCCTTACAATATTAATCCGTTCCTGAGAGCTCATCGTATGCCGAAATTATCGTAAGGCGAATTAATTTTCCCCATAAGAAATAATGGGAATCAAATTAATCCGTTCCCGACACCCCAAAGTATAAAAAAAAAATGTTTTACCACATGAAATATTAATTTTAATACACACAAACTGAAGAAGACATGCACAGTTAATACTCTACTAAGAATAGAATACATGACACTTACCTTTATTGAAGGTCTGGTGATGATTGATGGGATGGGAGGAGGGGAGTGTGGAAGTTGTTATTGTTTAGAAGGGGAATCCCCTTTCATTAGAACTTGAGGTATCAAGTCCTTTTCTGGGGTTACTTCCCTCCTTCTTTTAATGCCACTAGGACCAGCTTGAGAGTCACTGGACCTCTGTCGCACAACATATCTGTCCATAGAGCTCTGTACTTTTCGTTCCTTTATGATTTGTCTAAAGTGGTTCACAACATTGTCATTGTAATAGTCACCAGCACGGCTTGCAATAGCTGTGTGAGGGTGATTTTCATCCATAAAGGTTTGCACTTCAAGCCACTTTGCACACATTTCCTTAATCTTTGAAGTAGACAACTTCAATTTCTCTCTCCCCTCCTCCGAAGCAGTTTCCTAAGGTCTGGCCTCTTGCTGTTGAAGATGATCTTGCAGCTCATCAGTGGTTAGTTCTTCATTGTTCTCCTCCACCAACTCTTTCACATCCTTCCCAGTAACCTCCAACCCCAAGGACATCCCCAATGCCACAGTTGATTCCACAACTGGCATACACTTCTCAGGGTTAGCCTCAAACCCTTCAAAATCCCTTTTGTCTACATATTCTGGCCACAGTTTCTTCCTAGCAGAGTTCAAGGTCCTCTTAGTCACTCCCTCCCAAGCCTTACCTATAAGGTTTACACAACTGAGGATACTAAAGTGATCTTTCCAAAACTCTCTCAGAGTCAGTTGAGTGTCTGAGGTCACTTCAGAGCACTTTTGAAACATAGCTTTGTGTAGAGTTTTTTGAAGTTTGAAATGACCTGCTGGTCCATGGGCTGCAGGAGAGGAGTGGTATTAGGAGGCAAAAACTTGACTTTAATGAAGCTCGTGTCCCCAGAAAGTCGCTCTTCCAAGTCTGAAGGATGACCAGGAGCATTGTCTAATACCAGGAGGCACTTAAGGTCCAATTTTTTTCCAGGAGGTAATTTTTCACAGTGGGGGCAAATGCATGGTGTAACCAGTCATAGAAAAAGTCCCTAGTGACCCATGCCTTACTGTTTGCCCTCCACAGCACACACAAATTAGCCTTGAGGATATTGTTTTGCCTGAATGCTCTGGGAGTTTCAGAGTGATATACCAATAAAGGCTTCACTTTGCAATAACCATTAGCATTAGCACACATCAAGAGAGTAAGCTTGTCTTTCATAGGCTTATGTCCTGGGAGTGCCTTTTCCTCCTGAGTAATGTAGGTCCTGTTTGGCATTTTCTTCCAAAACAGGCCTGTTTTGTCACAATTAAACACTTGTTCAGGTTTCAGTCCTTCACTGTATGTACTCTTTGAATTCCTCCACATATTTTTCAGCCGCTTTTTGGTCCGAACTGGCAGCCTCACCATGCCTTATCACACTATGTATGCCACTACGATTCTTAAATCTCTCAAACCAACCTTTGCTGGCCTTAAATTCACTCACATCACTAGTTGCAGGCATTTTTCTAATTAAATCATCATGCAACTTCCTAGCCTTTTCACATATGATCGCTTGAGAGATGGTATCTCCTGCTATCTGTTTTTCGTTTATCCACACCAATAACAGTCTCTCAACATCTTCGAGTACTTGCGATCTATGTTTCGAAAACAAACTTGCACCTTTTGCAAGAACAGCTTCCTTGATTGCCGTTTTGTTGGCCATGATAGTAGCAATGGTTGATTGGGGTTTGGTATACAACCTGGCCAGCTCCGAGACACGCACTCCACTTTCGTACTTAGCAATTATCTCTTTCTTCATTTCCATAGTAATTTTCACCCTTTTTCCCGCAGGGTTGGCACTTGAAGCTTTCTTGGGGCCCATGGTGACTTATTTTGCAGCTACAATCACTAAAAACACTGTGATAATATGAACTGTACCGAATGTATGCGTGGATGCGACTGCACTGGCTGGCTTGTAAACACTGGCACGCACGGGGCAGCTGAGGCCACGCATGGGATGCATCCTGGACGAATCGCGTGAGGCGAGGCAAATTTTTTGTACCGTATGGCAGATTTAACATAATGCAATGCCATCGTAAGGCAGGGGTCCACTGTATAGTGTTTTGAAGTCTTAATAGTTGGCTGTAGATCAATGGACAACAGGTCGTTGCAGATATTTACCAAGGTCCTATCAAGAAAATTTAGTTGTAACTCTGGCCGGAAGTGCTGCTGTTCACAACACTCTTGACAAATACAAGGCCCAGGGCATGGACTATCATTTAATTACTAGTCTGAGGTCCGCATTTCTAGATTTTTTTCAAGGCATCACATTCTTTTACACTCATGGTTTAGCACTTCCTTTTGATTATAATAATAATAATTTTATGCTCGTCTCCAATCATGAACAAACAAACTTCTTGTATAAAACAGATTTTAAAGGCAGTATTAAGCCTGACTTGATAAAGCAGGAAACTCGATCATTTGGATTCTCTCTGAGGATACATTTCTGCATGCTAGCTGATCCATCCAGAAGATGGGAATGTTCTCAGCTTCAAAAATATATTTATTGTGTATGCCAGTTCAGGGCTGGAGTATTTCTTATCACTTCCTGAGTCTCGACCTGAGGCATGGACCAATCTCACTCTTATCTTTCTTACTAATATTCAAAAGATGATAAATGATCAGTTTGCTGTTCATGCTTTCAACTAATGCTAATTTTTGAGAGAGTAATGAGCTATCTTGAGCCTGAATTGCA